CCTGCCACTCAGACCCTGCCCCCCCATCCTATCCCTTCCCCCTCGCCCAGCGCCTCTCCGTGGCTCCCCCATTCCTCAGCGTCTCCCCTCCCCCTCCCTCCCTCCTCCCTCTATCCTTCTTCCTCCCTCATCTGAGTGGAGGTGGAGCCTGGGAGAGTTACTATCACAGAAATCAGTGTTTGTTTGTCTGATACTTGTTCACACCCTTTGTAACTGCAGACATACGCTGGTGACATTGCAGGCTCCATGTATCAGACCACCCCAATAAGGCTGATCACACAAATTTTTGAGCTTCCATGTAAAATTTTATTTAACATTATGACCCAGGAATTGATGGGATACCAACTGGCATGTTTCAACTAACAGATGTAACATTGGATGTGCTCAACAGTCTATGCCAGGAAATTTGGAGGACAGCTGCCTGTCCAACTGATAGGAAGAGATTCATATTTATTCCCATTCCCAAGAAAGGTGATTCAACAGACTGTGTAAATTATCAAACAGTATCATTAATATTATATGCAAGCAAAATAATGCTGCAAATAATTCAAAAACAGCTAGAAAAATGCATAGAAAACTTCCAGAAGTTCAAGCTGAGTTTAGAAGAGGTCATGGCACCAGGGATATCATTTCTAATGTTAGATGAATCCTTGCTGAAAGCCAAGAATACCAAAGTACGTATTATTTGTGTTTTATTGATGATGCAAGGGCATTTGACCGTGTGGATCATACAAATTATGGCTAACATTTACAAGAATAAAAACCCCAGAAAACTTATTTGTGCTCATGCAAAACCTTTACCTAAACTAAGAAGCTGTTGTCCAAACAGAGCAAGGAAACACTGCATAGTGTTTAAGAAAGGTGTGCATCAAGGCTGTATCCTTTCTCTATACCTATTCAATCTGTATGCAGATTCAAGAAGCTGGACTCTGAAGGAGAATGTGGTATCAGGATTAGAGGAAAACTAAACAACCTGTGTTATGCAGAGGCCACAACCTTGCCAAAAGCAAGGAAGACTTGAAGCCCTTGTTGCAGAAGATCAAAGACTGTTGTTGTTGTTGTTGTTGTGTACCGCCAAGTCAGAGCTGACCCTCTAGTGACCCTCAGAGGCAGTAATCATGCGGGGGGAGATTGTCCATCCTTCTCCTGTAAAGCAGCTGGCAGATTTGAACCACATGTCTTTTGAATGGCAGTGTAGATTTTTACCACTAGGCCATCAGTATAGTTTTCAAAATGGATTATATCTCGATATCAAGAAAAGAATCATTCTCACCACTGGACCAATAGAAAATATAGATGGGGGAACGATTGAAATTAATAATTTCATCTTACTTGAATCCACAATCAACATCGTTGGCACCAGCAAACAAGAGTTATGGAGATGTATTGCACTGGAAAAGTCTGCAATCAAAGACCTCGCCAAATTACTGAGGAGCAATGATGTCAGTTGAAGACTAAGGCGTATCTGTTTCAAGCTATGGTCTTTTCCATCACTTGCCAAGCATCTGAGAGCTGGAAAATAAAAAAAGATGACAGAAGAATAATTGACGCTTTTGAGCTGTGGTGCTGGAGAAGACTATTCAATATCCCACAGAAAGCTAAAAGAACAAACAGATAGATGTCTTAGAGGCAATGCAGCTAACTGAGTGCTCCTAGGAGGCAAAGATGACAAAACATCATCTCACATACTTTGGACATGTTTCCAGGAGCAGCAATTCCTTGCAGAGGGACATCATGATTGGAGAGGTCAAGGGTCGACCAAAGGAAAACCTTCAACCACATGGATCGACACGGTGACTGCAGCAACGAGCTTGAGTGTGTCAGAGACGATGAGGATGGCGCAGGACAGGACAGGGTTCAGCTCTGCTGTTTGCAAGGTTTTTATGAGTTACGCTCGACTGCACCTAACAACAACACATTACACACGCAACATCACCATGGAAAAGTTTTCAGTATGAGAATTACCCAAATGTGACACTGAAGCATAAAGTGAGCACACGCTGCTGGGGAAACGGCATCAATAGAATTGTTCCATGCAGAGTCGCTGGGAGTGTGCAGTTTGTGAAAAGCTGTATCTGTTAGTCCCTTCATTAAAACCACTTCTCCAGTTGATTGCAACTCATGCCAACCCTGGGTGTGTCCCAGCAGAGATGCTCTCTGTAAGGTCCTCAGTGGCTGTTTTTTCCAAAGTAGATGGCCAGGCCTTTCTTTGGAGGCACCTCTGCAGGAACTCAGCTTCCCAACCTTCCTGCTGGCGAGTAAGCGAGCTGACTGATTGTGGACCCAGGGGCTTCCAGAGCCTGCGTGAAACGCAATAGTCCCAATTTGAAAGAATCTTCTATTTTCTACCAGACCCTGGCTGGTAGAATCACTGACTGTCAGAATCATTGTAGACACAGAATTTCAGACAGTGAGGGTAAGTCACTCTCCCAGATAACACAGCCAGAAAATGTAGGATTGGGGTTCAAACCTAGGCCCCTGGTTCCAGAGCCCATGTTCCTACTCAGCGCACTCTCCCCACCACTGTGGTCTTAGAGCCCACCTGACTAGCTCCACATCGCCTCTCCC